GTGCTCTTTGTCTTTCAGAAGAGCCATTGAACCATGGAGTCTAGAATTGTATCACATATCCTTGGTTTGGCATTTTAAAACTAAAAATAATTCATAAACAGAGCATAAACTTGGCAGAGGTTCTTTTCATGATACTTCCCCCTTCTTTTAGCATACTAATAAAATGGACTAACAAATAAGCTTTTTCTGAAAAGGCTTTTTATTAATTGCCATACTGTATAATGAATTGAACCTTTCCATAGGCTTAAAATACTAATTAACAAAACAATATGTAGGTATTGTTTTTTTAAATTAATACTTGACTTGAGTGAGAGGAAGTTTGTCAATTTTTTGGGGATATGAAGAGGAGTCTGAGTCACTCCTAATAGCTCTGAAGCTTGGTCCAGCAGTCAAGGCAATGGCAGAACTCCCTGATGTCAGTAAGGACAGGATTTGATTCTGTGCCTTTTCAGGAACTGATGATTCAGTTGTGTTCTGGGAGGACCTCCGCACAGAAATCACTGGTACTTTCTGAGCTTTTTTGAGCCTTCTAACTGCTGTGCTGTATTTGTGGCATTCAGAGTTGATAAACTGCTATTCTTTTTTCATGCCTTAATAATACAATAGACCCCATAGCTGGGCTCTGTATGTATTTGGTAATTAACATAGATGACATTTCAATGTTACTGAAAATAAGCTCAGGATTATTGCATGAAATGTAAAAATTTGCATTGAATGATGGGGATATGAGACATGAGGCAGTTATGGCTACTGCCTCCTTGCTTGCTAAGTATCTTCTGTAAGCAACAATAAAATTCTTTAAATATTTTGCATATTATTTATCACATGTAATGTGTTCAAAGAGAGGACTTAAAACTCTCAGTGTTGCCATCAGTGTAAGCCTAGATCTATTGGGTTTTTTTCCATTTCTTGTTAGAATTGTTTGTCATAATGGAAGAATGTTGTCCTCTTTCTAGCTCATTATATATTTTGTGTATCTGTTTTGTGCAATTAATACTTAACAGTAATGATGTAGTTAATTTGTTGAAGGATGTCATTGCAAGAAAGTTATAGCATGGAGCTTAGGAGCACAATCAGATGTTATTTATACTCCCTTTATACCTTAGTGTTATGCTTCATTTGAAGAAAGAAATAAATAATTTGTCTTTTGTTCAAAACCAGATCTAACCTACCACATGCTTTTCTATTATGTTCATCATCATAGTCCAACACAGGGGCGTTAATTTGGGTTGATGACCAATCTTCCTGAGTTGCCATTTCTCCATCTAACACTTGGAATATCTTTCACATAGAGTGTGGGTACATCCAAAGCCCCGTTATTGGCTACAGCTGCTGAGTCTGAACTGTTGTGTAGATGGCCTCCTCATGCAGACCTCTCACCCTGCTTGTCCATCTGCAGCCTGCTTCCCCTCGGGATGTGAAATGGGAAAGATGGAGTGTCATCCTGTGGGGGTGGGAGGGAGAGAGTGCAGTGAGACTGCCCTGCTCCAGCCTTCAGCTGTGCTCTTCCAACCTGCCTTCCTTGCACTGCAGGAAACAGAATCCATGGAAAAAGTATCCCTGGCTGGTCATCTAGTCTCTCAATGGGAAATCAGAAGGTTGGTTTTCAGCACAAAATGGGCTTTATCTAAGTGTGAATAAACTGGCATAACATTGTCTAACTTACAAAAATTGTCAGCAATTGACAAAGAAACACGAAACATGGCAAAAGGGGAATCTTTCTTATTTTAGTGTCTTCAGTTACAAATGTTAAGGAAGGCCACATACAGAAACTGGTAATTCTGAGACTTACCAGTATAAATTCTCTTTCATGATAATTGTTAATTTGAAGGGCTTCATGGAAAGTAAGAGAAGTCTGAAAAATGACTGTTGATTAGCAAGGTAAACTTTTTCCTAGTGATATCAACTAGTGGCTAATTAGCAATGCAAAGTGTGAGTACAGCTCGGTCATTAAATTTGCCTAACTTAATTGTGTATAAACACAGTAATATAGCCCCATGTTCTATCAATGCCAATATTTTAATAGAGAGGTGAATTGTGGATATGCCCATACATATACTGAGCCCAAATGTTATAATTTTCTGAATACTTACAAATTTTTGTCTTCAGTAAAACTTATGTATTGCACGGGATACATTTAAATTTTATTAATATTCTGTACAGCTCAATATTCCCTTGATCATGAATACGAAACAGGTAACTGACTATTCCTGATTATTTTTCTCTTATGTTCTCCCTAATGTCTGTTTGAGTAGTTTATGAGACCAAAACCACATCAGTGCAACTTAAATGCAAAATTGTGCAATAAACACATTCCTGAAGTTTAGTTAAAAGGGCCACTAAAAATATTTTCTACTTGCTAGTACATGAATATGAATATACAGTGAATTTAGTAAGAAACTCTGAGAATCCAATTAATTTGGCCTTTATTATTACCATATTGTTTGAAAAATACTTTTATAGCTTATTTTACAATGCAAGATTGGTAACTACAAGAATGCAACAAAAGAATTTTTGGTATTTCTTGCATAAGAATGAGTAACATATTGTTCCATTTCAGTGCCAAATCAAAAGTTAAAAACACCAGGCAGAATCCTAGGGCTTTTAACTCAGTTTTAAATTGTACTTTCCTTGAAGTAGACTTTTTCTGTGTACTATAAGGGGCTCACTCAAGAGAAGTAACATCACCAGGATAGACACTTCACAGTTTCCTCCTGGCACAAACTCCTACTGATTGTTCTGTCTCTAAGGCTACCTCTCATGACCAAACGGTGATACATGCCACGTCATACATATCACTGGAACTGTAGAGAACTTCCTCACTGTGAAACAGAAGGTAGCTAGATACTCAACTGTTATTTATTCAATGAGAGCTCTAGAAGGTCTTGGTGAATTGGGAGCAAAAGGTCAGAGTAGAGGCATAGTGTTTATTTGCTTGGAAGAGAAAGTGTCAGAAGACATATGGTTTCAGGACTCCAAAAAATAGTGGAAATGCTTCTATGCTTTTTATGACTTGACCAGCTATTACCCATGCACTGATCACCATGCTGTCACTAGAGTTATAGTAATTCCACACTATGGAGCTCCACAGGATTACAAACAGAAGTGCCTGGGAAGAATGCAGGGCATGGGACTTTGCCATGATTTGATGTGGGTTTGTCTCCTGCAGGCAAGCATCCTCCATACTTCTAGTGCATCTGAAAGAGACCTTATCTGAAAAAGCCTGCATCAGTCCAAGTGTTCTGAGGAAGCTAAATGGCCATCTAATACTACCAACATTCAGATAACAAGGTCAATATTTCCTCCACCATCCCTCACTCCCCCAACAAGTCAAAGCACAACTCAAAACATTAGCCAGCTGTTAGATCTTTTCATGTTATTCTGATGGGCATCTCACTTAATAATTTACACATATATACCAATTAGGCTACCCTGCTATCTGTATGTGCCAGTGTCTGTATCCATTATGTCTACATTTTGAGGCATGATGCTATACAAGTTTCTAACAATCTGGACCTCCAAAAATTCTCTTAAATTTGGTATATAAATATACTGAGAACATAATGCATTCATTTCCAAGCCAGTTCTGTTATGAAACCCTGAAAGCTGAGACATTGATGTTTGTGTAAAAATCAGAAAATACCAAAGTGTAATGTATCACACCTAAGAGCTGAAAAGATGATAAAATGCAATGAGGGCCACTGTAGCAGAACACTGTTTTCCTTTATCTGTGTTCTTGATCAATAGATAATATATGTGCTCAATAAAAGACTTGGTGGCATATGTTCTATAAAAGCCTCATGGTTAAAAATGTGAACAAGAAAACATCATAAGTATTTGTGTAAGCAAAACTATGTTGGACAAGTGACAATAACAGACAACATATATGAATTATCAGTACTGCATGGGACTGGAAGGAACTGTTTGCATTTTCTCATTTTCTGTAATGAGATTACTTAAATAAATTTTTAGCTTTGTCATGAAATAATATTTATGTCACTGAAAACAAACAGGAAGAGGGCAAACACCACTTATTTGATGATATTGACAGGTATCAGAATGGGATATTTCCAGTTGTCAGGGACCTACATGATGATCAATGATAATCCACTTCCTCACCACTTCAGGGCTGACTAGAAGTTAAAGCCCATCATGTAGGGCATTATCCAAATGCCTCCTTTTAAGGCACTGGCAGACAGGAAGCTTGTTTCAGTGTCTGACCACACTCAGTTAAGAAATATTTTCTAAGGTTCAGTCTGAACCTCTCCTTATGCAGCTTTGTACTATTGCCACATGTGCTGTCACTGGATCCCAGGGAGAACAGATCAGCAAACCCCTTTCCACCTTCCCTCCTCAGGAAGCTGTAGAGAGCAGTGAAGTTACCCCTCAGCCTATTTCTCTCCAAACTAGACAAACACAAATCTTTCAGCTGCTTGGTATCTGTCACAGGGACAGGTATCCGTCTGGCACAGATAGGCCCTCTCTAAGCAGAGCAGAAATACCAGCACTGAGGCTGGATCTGTGGGAGGAAAATCTGTGCTTAAGGGCAGTGTGGTTGCCTTGTCCTGTCTGTTCACTGATTGTGCAGCCTGATGCATGTGCCAGTCTGGCATTGTCCCTTCCCAGGGGCTGGATTTGACACTTCCCCTTCGTGAACTTCTGGGGGCTCCTGCCTTGGCAGGGTATGACTCTGGGGTGACACAGAGAGCAGCACCAAGTGGTGACTCCAGCCAGGGAGGGAATTGGTCGTGGCCGTAGTGAGGCTGCACCGGGTAGCACAGGCTGGTAGGAGAGCAGAGAACCAGATGTGAGGGCAGAGGCTGGTGCTGAAGAGCTCATGAGTGGCCTGGGCTGATGGGCTTTGGGGCACAATCTGGACCTGGAGAACCCCCTGCTGGAAATATCTGCCCTGGGGTTGGCTACGGGAATGGGTCTGGAGCTGGCCATTACTTGTTTGATGGGAGAATAACAAGGACAAAAATGCCACAGTCCTGTTTGTAATGTTGGGACTTTTTTTGAGTTTCCATGCATTTATTTTATTTGGATAGCTGGATATGAGGGGCTGTGAGTGCTAGAGGGTTGGTGTATGCCCCAGCTGGTGGCCCAGACCCATTTGGCTAACTCCTCAGGCATCCTCCACAGCCTCAGATGCAGGGGAGGCTGAAGAGGCCCCAGGGCCACTTGCCTGCCTCTTCAGAGGTCACCATGGCCCCTCAGGAGAGGGGTCACTGCCCCATCTGGAAGTGGAGGACCCAGGAACAGACTCCTCTGGCTCCTCCTGAGGCTCTTCTTGCTCCAACAGCGATGGTAATGGGTACGGAGGGGTAGCTTCTGAAATGCCCATCCATGGCAGAGGGGGTGGTGTTGGGCACCTCATCCATGGTGCATCTTGCAGGGCTGTCAGAAGGGCTTGGACCTGGGCAGGGAGATAGGGCTGGAGGGTGAGCAGATGACAGGCTGGCCTGCTGCACTGTTGCGTGGCTACACGGATAAGCTGTTGTACAAATGTTGCCACATGGTTTTGGAGGGAGACCCCCAGCATCTGGACCAGCTGGTCTTCATCGATTCCATGGCTGGCCAGGATGTCCAGGACAGTGTCCTCCACTAGGTCTGCCTCCATCCAGTTGTTCCTGAAGATCTGCCTCAGCCTTGGTCGGACCCAGATCACCAGGGTATCTAGGAGGCATGGGTAGTCCCGGAAAAGTACCATCCATTCCCCAGGCTGGAGACCGCCCACGGGATGCCTGGGCACTCCTTCTGCAGCCCATGTTTGGGATGCTCCAGAGAAATGGAGGTCAAGGTGTCTTGGATCTCCTCTCGCTTGGTGGACAATGATGGATGGTGTCTCAGATAGTGCAATTACATGCTCCATGTAGTCATTTTCTGTCTCCATTGAGTGCAGGATGGATAGAATCCTCCTCTTGCAGAGGGGGCACTTGGGTGTGTTCTCTGCCCACTGCAGGATGCAGGTGTAACAGAACTGGTGCAGGCATGGAAATATGTAGCTGATCTCCTTCAAGCTGTCCAGGCAGATGGGACAGCAGCTGTCCATCTCTGTGGCCATGCTCTTCTCTTCAGTGGCCTAAGGGGAGCTGGGGTTATGACTTGCTCCCTTTCACTAGCCTTGCATCAGCAAATTTTACTCTAGAAGGGGAACAAGCACTATGGCCATTGCCTGGACCCAGAAAGATTGGTAGAAATGCCCTGGTCCCTCAGGAGGGAAACCATCTCAGCTCCCCAGTAGGTTTTACCCCCCAGCTCACCTCTTCTGCTGCAAGTGCACCTCCTGGGTGTTCCAGATGCCTGAACCTGGCAGGGAGGGGGAAAATCCTTCAATGGTTGAAGGATTGAACACAGCTGCAACAAACAACTGTCCTTGCACAATGACAACATCAAAGATCTCACTGAGCACTCCAAACCTTCCCAAATGCTCAGCAGGAGTCACAAATTGATAGAATGATTTGGGCTGGACAGGAACCTTCATGATTGTCTGGTTCCAAGCCTCCTGCCATGGTTGGGGCACCTTCAACTAGAACAGGTTAGCCAGAGTCCCATCCAGCCTGGTCTTGAGCAGCTCCAGGGACAAGATCCACAGCATTCACAACTTCCTAGGCAACCTGTTCCAGTGCCTCACCACCCTAAGAGTAAATAATTACTTCCTAATATCTAATCTAAACCTACTCTCTTTCAATTTGAACCCATTCCTTTTTGTCCCGTTGCTACATGCCCTTGTAAATGTCTTGCCTCATCTTTTGTGTAGGTTCCCTTCAGGTACTGAAAGGCTGTGGTAGTCACTCCAAAGCCATCTCTTATAAAGGCTAATCAATCACAATTCCCTCAGCCTTTCCTCATAGGTGAAGAGCTCCATCCCTCTAATCATCCTGGTGGCCTCCTCTAGACTTGCTCCAACAGATCAATGTCATTCATATGCTGGGACCCCAGAGCTGATGCAGGGTTCCAGGTGGGCTCTCACCAGAGCAGAGCAGAGGGGCAGAATCCCCTCCCTCCCCTGCTGCCCACGCTGCTCTGGATGCAGCCCAGGACACGTTTGGCTTTCTGGGCTGGGAGTGCCCATGGCTGGGTCATGTCCAGCCTCCCACCCACAGCACCCCCAAGTCCTTCTCACAGGGCTGCTCTCAATCTGTTCATCCCCAGCCTGTGTTGATACCGGGGATTATCCTGATCCAGGTGCAGCACCTTGCATTTGGTCTTGTTAAACCTCATGAGATTCCCACAGGCCCACTTCATGAGCTTGTCTAGGTCCCTCTGGATGACATCCTGCCCTTCAGATGTGTCTGGGAACGAGCTGGCTGGCTGAAACTTGTTGCTCAGCTGTAAGCAGCGAGGAACGATGGGTCACAATCCATCTGTAGGTGATATCACAATGTGCCATCAACACCCATAGTACACTGTCTCAGTACATGCATCTGGGGCTACCTCTACACCAATGCCAGCTCCATTCCCCATCTTGTCATCTTATACTCACATTGATGTTACAAGACTGTCACTGAGGCCTTGGCTGTACCTCCCCAAAGTCCTGCCAGTTTGTTCTGGCCATGACAGATATCTCCAGGCAAATGAAGCATGAGGGCTCACTTACCAACAACTTGTACCTCCCCGGGAGGCTGCAGGACAAAGTCCCACAGGTTCTCCACACACTCCACACTGCTGGCCACCCCTTTGGTCTGTCCTGTTTTCTCCCATGATGTGTCACAGACAGCACTTGGCTTGCTCTGGCATGTATTCTCCTATCTTTGTTCTCTAGCTGGAAGGAGCTAGGGTGATTCCTCTGCTCAGCATGTGTCAGACCTCATCCAGGCACTCCACCCTCTTTGAGGTCCTGGAGTCAGATTGACAAACAAAAGGGGCTCCATCCTTTAAAGTAAGGATGCTCTGTGAAGCCGGGGCTGGTTCAACATGGGGCAGACAAGGTGTTGGGACATCTCGCAGCACAACCCAGTGTTTCTAAAGATGGGGACATCCCACATCAAAAGGATTGGAACAGATTCGTGGATGGGTGAGAGATGGTGGCATCTACTGCAACTAGAGAGTTTCAAACTGGAGATAAGGAATAAAAACAAAATTGCTGTAAGAATCACTGAAGTGAATTGCCCAGGTCTTCAAATCCCGAGTGGCCATAACCCAGAGCCACTGTCACATAACACAGAGCAACAGTCACAAGCTCGTGAATGGATGCTGGCTGAAGTCCTGGAAGAGAAAGCATTGACAGTAGGAAACACAGCAAACGAGCAACAGCTTTGAGAAGTTTTTTACTTTCTGGTGGTTGCATTTGGTTCAGCAGCTTTCACAGATTTTTAATTAGGAGAGAATAGAATAGTTCCAGTTGGCAGGGCTATACAAGACTCATCTAGTCCCATTGCCTGATCACACCTGGCCAACAGTTAAAGCCCATTATTGAGGGTGTTGCCCAAATGCCTCCTTTTAAAACACCACCAGGTATGGGACATCAACCGTCTTTTTAGGGAGTCTTTTTTGGTGTGCAACCACCCTCCCAGTAGGAAATGCTTCTGAATGTCAACGGGCCAGTTCTTCATCCAGCACAATGTGCACCTGCTCATCTCACAGCTGGACAACTTGTCCAAAAGGATGCTCTAAGGGACAGTATCAAAAGCATTATGAAAATCCAGGAAAACCACATCCACCTCTGTGTCTTTAATCACTAGGCAGGTTACCTAATTGTAGAAGTGTCTCAGAATAGTCATACAGGTCTTCCCTTTGTGAATTTGTGCTATGCCTGATGCTTGTGTTTCCTTGAAATGTCTTTCATGACCAGTAGTATCTTCTCCAATTTTTTCAGGTGCTGAGGTTAGACTCACAGATCTGTAGTTTCCTGTGTCTTCCAGCACACCTTTCTAAATTGCAATGACTGGACAACTTCCAGTCAGCGAGGACCTCCCCAAATACCCATGACTTTTGAGTGGGGTCCTGTTGTCACATCCAACAGATCCTGCAGTACTCTGGATGAATCTCAGCAGGTCTCATGATGTTATGAACAGCCAGGTGATAAAGCTGGCACCTTATAATTTCTGTGCACAAATGAAGAGTCACTGTTCCTGCAGTTGTGGTCCTTCAACTCTGAGATTTTACCAGTATTATTAAGGGCTGAGGAAAAAAAGCACTAAATACCTCTAGTTTTTCTGTAGTTCTATTTGTCACAGGACCATCTTCAACAAGAATTGGTCCATTGTTTTCCTTGAGTCTCCTCTTGCTACTAACATATTTTACAAGTCCTTTCTTTTTGAGCACAACACTGGCCATTTTCAACTTCTATTGAATTTTGGCCTTGCATGCCATCTCCTGTGTTTGTGAACATATATGATCTTCCTGCAAGTTCTGATCCTACTTCTAGATATCACCCAATCTTTTTTTCTTCCTGCGTTCCAAGAGGAGTTCTCTGTTAAGCCAAACTGGTGTTCTGTCCCTCTTGCTTGACCTGTGACAAAATAGGATGGCCTGCTTCCACTCTTATCAACAGTGGCTCTTTAAGACTGACCAGCACCCACAGAGGCCTCCAGAGCATATTCCTAGGAGACACTGCAAAATTGCTACTTGGATAGCTGAGAATTTGCTCAATTGAAATTCACAGTAGAAACACTGTTGAACTTTTTTTCTCATTATATTAAGAATTTTGAACTCAACCATTTCATCATCACTGTGGTCAAGACATACACCTACCATCACATGCATGAGTACTTCTCTATGAACAAATAACATATATAGGAAGGCATCTTTTCTAGCTGGAGGATTTGTGGCAGGAAATTTTCTTCAAGCAGCTCCAGGAATTGCCCAGACTTGCTTGTAACATCTGTATGGTATTTCCAGTAAATGTCTGTGAACTTGAAATCTCCCACAAGTACAAAGGCTAACAGTCCAGAGATTTCGCTTAACTGCCTGTAGAATAACCCATCAGTGAAATTGTTAAAAAGAGTATGGAAGGGAGGTACAGTCTTTTGGTTTATATATTAATCCATATAAATTTCTGTATCAACAATAAATTTAACTGTAAGTCCTAGCAACATAGTGATATAGACACAGAAATCAAAAAGAATGGTTTGTATCTGAGAGTCCACTAGGGAATTTTCTCTTTCTATACTGAGAATATGATACAATCTATACTTGTATATGATTCATATAATATCTCTGCACTAGTATCTCTACATATAAAAAACCCAAAAGCGTGGTCTGTAGATGACATTCAGAGGAAGGAAAACCACTTCTGCAGTCTGAATTCTTTAGAAACCACTCTGTTTTTTTTTCATGTCTCTCATCTTCTTAACAAGTGCAGGTTGAGAAGGAAAATGCTCTTGTTAAAAACGCTACAAACTTCTCACTTTCATGTGTTATGTTTGATGTGAAGAAACAGTTAAGTACCACGTCAGATTGTACAAAAAGTCAGGTTACTCTCAGAAGATTTTAAGTATGATGTTATATAATGAATCCAAGTAGTAAGAAAAGAGAGCCTCTTGGTCCCATGTTATCACTGTTTCAATCTGTCGATGTGACATTTGTGAATCTGATGTTTTCACTCACTAGCTTGCTTCATGCCTTTGTTAATTTTATTTTCCCTCTGATAATCCTGTTCATCTTAAACCCATGTGATAATGCTTCTTAAGGAAAATATTCTCTTTTTGTTCATGTGTAGCCTCAAGAGATTATAGAAACACTCCAGAGACTACATGCCAGACTTCTTTCTCTTCTTCAGCTGTACATACAACAAATGACTGGAAGTGGCCTTTTTTCTTAGAAAAGCATTGGAGTCTATGTGGGTAACAATGGACTTAGACACACTGCTGCCACTCCAGAGCGATTTCCCCTTGTCCCACAATTGTTGATTAAGAGGTTTTTCCCTCCTGTTCATTCCCATGGGCAGATCTCAGAAAGTTTCTGTCTATAGCAGTAATGAACTACCTGAAGCTCTTTCACTTTCCCATCCATTGCAGTTAGTTATACGCTCAATTTTTCTATAGGTTGCTGATGATACCTCCTGAAATAAGGAAATCACAGTCATTAGTTCAGTCCTACGAGTAACTGCTGATTAAAACCTCAGTTTAGCCAAAGGCTAATGTCTTGATTTCACCATCCTTGCTTAGTTTAAATGTTTCATTCTTCAACTATCATTATGGTCCTTATTGTCTCTCCTCAAAAAGCATTTATGCGTTCTAAGCATAAATGAATAATCCTAGTTAAACTTTTAAAATTAAAATGTTTAGAGTTGATCCTAAAGAAAGCTGACCTCCTTGTTTATTCCTGTTCTACAGACTACACCTCTCAATATCAAGCTGAGAATTATGGTGCATTATATGGAATGCTTTCCATTTATATTTTTTTTTTTCATCCAATTGAATCCTTTAGATCATAAGCAAAATATGATCCTTTGAGAAGCAGGTACTCCTTAGAAAGGTACTTAAATGTTTGGACAAAGGTTGATTTGTTTTTAGAAGGCTGCACACACACAATTTTTTTTACTCGTTCTCTTTTCAAGTATCCCTGATTCAGCTGAAGCCACAGTCCTAAAATATCCATGACTGCATATGACAAATGGTAGTTTTCCTGAAGTGCAGTAGAGTGTCTCATTGGAATTTCAGTCAGGACTATTAATGGTTATTAAAGTACTTAGGTAAAGGAAAAAAGAAATACTACTACAGATGTCAATAGTTTTTATTTAAATTCAAGGATGACTGAAAGTCCAAGGGCAGTCTGCAATTCAGTAAAAAGATTACTAAATCTGAGATACCAAAAGAGAGACAGGTTACTGGAATAGGAGGTGTTTTTCTTGGAAATGGTACAGTGTATATGTTTGCCTATCTGTCTATTTATAACATGAAACATGACCCAAGCACATTTTTCCTATGCAACATTTTATTAAGTGTTGCACGGCTTTTCAATACTTAGGTAATGGTGAAATACACTCGAAAGTTGCTATTATGAACTGACCCAGTTTTCTCTCAAACTTGTCAAAACCCCTTTAGTAACAATAATGATAATTAATTAACCAGTTTATTGTTCCATCAGGTTTTGGATCTGAGTTGAAAAGAGAATGGTGGGGATTAATTTTTGTTTCACTGAAAGTGCATTTCTGTAGCTCTCCAAGCTATTTTTTCAGAGTTTGATGCAGAAGCGATGTCTGTTCTAAACTTTTGCTAAATTTATGTCTTAGTACATTTCTGAAGCATTCACTAGAGAAATGGGAGCTCTGATGTTCTTGTCTGTGACCATTTTACCACTCAAAGGTTATGGGAAAGAACATTAAAATGGGATAAAGAGCAACTGAATTTGCAAAGAAATCAAAAGAATTTCCCTCAGTATAGCTGATTAAGT